AAATTGAATAATGCATTAATGTTTATTTTATTGTAGTAAAATACATACACACATACAAGAGACAGAGAGGGAGGGAGGGAGAGAGAGAGGTGGGGAGAGGGGGAGTGGGAGTGGGAGAGGGAGAGGGAGAGGGAGAGAGAGAGGGAGATATGTCCCAAAGGTGCCTTTTTTCAAGAGGGAACTTTCTGATTTTTCTTTGAAGACATTTCGCTTCTCATCTAAGAAGCTTCTTCAGCTCTTCTTGGATGAGAAGCGAAACATCTTCAAAGAAAAACCAGTAAGTCCAGTTGCTTCTTGAAAAAGCACCTTTGGGACAACCAAGACCTGGATGATTGAGAATCTCCATAGACATACACAGAGATCCATTCCTAACAGTCTTAAACTCTGTGTTAGCTAATGATACAGCCAATTGTAATGAATATTGAGACATTGATCATTCTGTTTAATATATATATATAGAATAGCTATATCCAGTACCCTGAACAAATTGAGAGGTACTGAAAGACCAATGAGATAACATAAATTTGCCACTGTTTGGTTTTTCTATTTCTGTTATTTAGGAATCTATTCATTTTCACTTCTCACATTTGTTTTTTTTTCCCATTTATAACCGTGATGGCAAACTTATGGCACGCATGCCACAGGTGGCACACAGAGCCCTCTCTGCTGCCACACGAGCCATCGCCCTGCTCAGCTCCACCCCACATGTGCGCACACCTCCCGCCATCCAGATGATTTTCGAGTCTCTGCCGTGCATGCACGGGTGGCAGAGCAGGTGCAGAAGATGTGTACGCAGGCCCGGGATGTGCAGCCCCCCACCCCCACGGCCTGTTTTTGGTCCCAGGAGGCTGCAGGGAAGCCTACTAGGCCCAAAATAGAGCGGTGGAGGGGGGTTGCATGTGCATGCACAGGGGGCAGGGCATGGGGGGGTCACGTGCGCATTGCATTATGGGTGCAGGCACGCATGTGTGCTGTTGCGCACGCTTGTGCGTGCTTTCGGCACATGACAAAAAAAGGTTAGCTATCACTGTTTTATAACTTTGATAGAATGCTCATAGGAGCTAGTAGTTAAACTTTTCACCTGTAACTTGCAGTTATTATCTAGCTGGTTCAGTCTGGTACATTGGTCCTACTCAGTGGTGGGCTGCAAATTTTTTAACAATCGGTTCTCTGCCCTAATGATTGCCTGGATGGGCTTGGCTGGGTGGGTATGACTGGGTGGGTGTGGCCATCTTGATGTCACTTATGTCGAGGGGCGCCTCGCCTCACTCGCCCTCTCATGACCATGGGGATGCTGCAACAGTCGTAAGTGTGAAAAATTGTCGCAAGTCACTTTTTTCAGTGCCCTTGTAACTTTAAATGGTCACTAAATGAACTGTTGTAGGTCAAGGATTACCTGTACAAAAATACAAAAAGCTTCTTTGCTTGAAAAAAGCTGCCCTAAATTCCAGTCATTAGATTAGAAATGGGGGAATACACACTGAAGATCACTGAGTCACAGCCGTCATGGAAACCTAAACCATTCTGTCTGAATACCTTCCTTTTCCTCAGCAATACCTGCAACCCGGAGTTACAAATCAGGCAGGTTGCCGGAGTACATTGAGGAATTAAAATAGTTAAAATAAAAGAATAACTATCAGCAGCAAAGTTACTCTTGTTCATAAAGTGAAACCCTTTAGCAGAGAGGTCATTTAAGCTCTCCAGAAAGTGGGTGGGCATATTTGGGCTTCAAAATGCCGAGCTAAAGAGACAAATTAACAAATTAACATCTTGAGTGAGGGCTAATCCCATTCTGCTTTTGTTCAGACCTTGCTGCAGGGAATTTTTGCCTATGAATATAGCTATCTATCTTTTTATCTTTTAAGTGCTGACATCTTCTGTGGGCTATTAAGGAAAGTGGGGGCTGCTTTCACCCTCTAAGAAAACATGTTTCTCCATTTCTCATTCAGAGAAATATATTCTGCCTTTTTAATATTTCTTAAAATATTTCATTCTTCTAGGAGAGGGTGGGTGCTAACTTTCTACAATTGGTGCCATGTTACTATGCCATATTATTATGAGAGAAAACTAAAAGAAATTGGAAGGAGGATCCATTTATTATCAGTGAGCAATCATGTGCCTTGCCCACTCTGAAGCAATTCAAGAAACTTCTGTCCCAAAGGTGCTTTTTCAAAGGCAACTGGACTTTCTACCTTTGGGACAACCATAAGCTGGATAACTGAAGAATCCCCACAGACAAGAGACTCCTATGCTCAGTGAACTGATAAAGCACAGTTTCCCACCCAGAAGAAACAATTATTAGATCCACTTGCACCACTTAACGATACCAGCTGGTCTCACTCACCTCACAAGATATCCTTAGGTAATCATCCAGATTTAAGGAAGGATCACATGCCCCCAGAAAGGCAGTAAAAAAATCAGACAGAATGCCAAGTTTGCATCCTGCCTCTCAGCCATTTCTTCTATGGCTATGCCAACCCTTCTGTAAATAGCTGTTCTAACCATGTTGTAAGTATACTCCAAAAAACTTAAAACAACCCTTTAACAATCTTTAAGAAAGTCAAGCCCTAGGAATAAAAGTACTACAAAAAACTCAGAGGTGGGGGGGTGGGCGCTCCGGAGAAGCTCAGTCTACAAGCAGAAAGTCTGGGCGTAAGGCTTACAATGGTAACAAGCTTAACCCAGAGGCAGTTTCTGAAAACACTTAAAGGAGCAGGGCAATTAAACTAAGGATTAGGCTATAAATAAAGGCATACCAGAATGTTTCCTACTTGCCTCCCTTGCAGGATTAGCGTGGTAGAGTGGGAAAAGATTTCTTCCAACAACCCGTTCTCCTAACTGCTCAGAAAATTAATAGCTGGTTCAGGAGAACCTGTGCGAACCGGTAACAGCCCACCTCTGGTCCTACTAGTCATATGTCCTTCTATTCTAATAGCTCCATTCCTTTCATACTGTTGTGTTTTACGTGGACAAACACAGAGGCCAGGCTGCTAAGAACACTAACTTTATTGTTAACACAGAACTGAACAGGAACAGTTGAACCCGCGCGTAGTATACAAGAACAACAACTCACCGCCTGACAGCTGCTTAAATAGCGAGCTGTCAGACAGTGTGAACCAATCCGTGAGCTGGCATTTCCTGCTACTTTAGTTACTCACGTCTGCACCAATCCGCGCCCGCTGGCAACACAGCCAGCGTGAGGGAAGTCATAACTGTGAGGACTCAACATCTACCTAATGTTAGATAACACCACTAAGATTGAAGAATCCCATGTTCAAATTCCTACATGGTGATTTATAGCCAATCACTATTTGTCAGCTCAATGGTTCAAATGATGACATTAGGGATGCCTCTTTAGGGACTGCTTTGAACACTAAAGGAAAGGTGTGATATAAATGTACTAAATTCATAAATTGCTGTTGTGAACATATCTCCAAACATGCATATTTGTGTTTACAAATTTTGCCATTTGATGTAATAAATAATAAAGATTTGTCAAACAAATATCATAATATATGAAATATATTTTTTACATACTACCAGTATATTCTTTAAGCAGAGGCATCATTTTCATTTTCCCTTAATATACATTTTTAAGACATCCAACTAGAAATTGAAGTGTGAGATCCAGTCCAGCCTTAGGCACGCAGCCAGCTGAGTGACCTTGGGCCAGTCACTTTCCCTTGTCTTTAAGAAGGAGGCAATGGCAAGCCACTTCTGAAAAACCTGGCCAAGAAAACTGCAGGGACTTGTCCAGTCAGTGCCTGAGAATCAGACACGATTGAATGAGGAGGAAAAAATAGATTACTGTAATGCAGAATTCAAAAAAATATGAATTAGAAAAAAAATCCATGTGAAAAAAAATAAGTAGATTTTAGTGGATAAATCCATAATAGAATTACACTTTTTTTAGCTGGGGTGAAAATTATTTAAATATTTCAGTCACAAGACAATATAGTGTGTGGTCCTCGTACTCCAAATCTCTCTTTATTTTCCTAAAATAAACTGTGTTCTCTGCTCTCCTATTGATCCCATTTTAACAGAAAACACTCCTCCTGAGTAAAAAGTATACTGAAAGAATTATTCTGTTATACTACATGAATTTATTTAGTTATGTTCATTGTTAACTGAGCCAATCTGTGTAGTGTGTAAAGCATCAGAGTAGCAAATGCAAGATTGTGGGTTTGATTTCCACGATTGACATGAAGCCAGCTGAGTGACCATGGACCATTTTCTCTCCCTTGGCCCTACGAAGAAACCAAAACCAATCCTCTTCTTAAATCTTGCCAAGAAAACTGGGCAGTTATTTGGACAGTTGCCAAGAGTCAACACTTCTAACACTGCAGAAGTGTTCTCAGAATTGAAGCAGGATTCAGATAACTTTCCCAGTGGGAACACATTGCCCTAAGAATGATTAGTGTTCAGCTTAAAACATTAGGCTAACCTGTGAAAATGGCAAGACATGATTGAATGTATTTTTCCATTAACCTCCAAAAATCAAAAGCAATTAGCACAATAAAACTTCAAAGAAATAAACCAGACTCAGACCAGGCTCTCTTTATAATTTTCATGGCAAAGACACACACACAAAAAGACAACTAACAGCTCAGGCCTGTGTGTGTTTTTGAGGTTTTTAAATAATGTTTAGCTTCAGCCACTATGCAAAGGAGTGAGACAAATTGTTTTTTAACTTGGTCAGATATCTTCCTGAGCCTGTAAGAGATTTAACAATTATCTATCAAATTTCACTGCTTCAACATCAGACAGGGTAATAGAAAGCATTGAAGTTCTAAGTATTTGCCGTATTTTTTTTCTATCAGTCCACAACTAAATTTCATTAAGAGACCACACAATTAGATTAGTGTGGGTTTACATTATATTTACTTGGGGTAGGAAGTTTAAAGCATCAAAAGTAGTAATAAAAGAAAATATAATTTCAGAATCATAATAGATTATTCTTTTTTCAAATGCCTTTTCATTCTTCTACAAACTGTTCTTACCTCTGGGATGTTTTCTTATATTTTCTCCTGCAGGAAAAGAACAAAAATAAAAAATGAGAACTGAACAAGATCAATTGGCAACATGGGTGGAAATAAGTAGTGTCTTTGAAAATATCTATGTACTGTACAGCTTCCATACCATAGAAAGGCATGCCACCCTAATTGGAGATCATGTCTCTCCAGTATTGTCCAAATTATTATCATCTTGTAAAAGATGGTAAAAAGCATAGGCTTTTCCCAGTAATCAGCAAGTAAATAATTTAGGGAGACTTTTTTTCTGAACATAGAAATAAGAAAAGATCAGTTCATTTAACTATATCAAAAAAGGGATGGATACATTTATTTCCAGTATGAGTCACTGCATTATATTCATAATTCTATTCTTTTTTATGATAACTAGTGAATTTTTTTAAAAAAATATTATCTATAATTACCAAAATACATTAAAATGTGTATTTCAGAATACATATTCCATACTACATTGATAAGTTTATAGCTTAAAATATCTTGTAACATTAACTATAAAGTTATAACTCTGCACTTTTACCAGAATGATGTGGTCAGTATAAGAATTTAAAATTCTTAAAGCACTGTAATATTAAAGAATAAAAATGTAATTGTTATGCCTCAGTTTTTGGATTTGTAGTATTTTCTTTCTAACATATTTAGATGATTTAAATTCTTTAATTGACCAATTGATAAAATTGATCTTTTGCTGGTAACTCATACATTCTTCCAATCATTTGTAGAATGATGAAGATTGTTTTAGTATCCCTTTTTACAAAAATAGCTTTTTTCAATCAAGAGAATTAATTATCAAAAAGTATAAGAACTGTGTGAAAAATTAAAATTAGAGAGAGTCCAACATATTTTCAGAAGAATTTAGGAACAAGACCTCATCAAATGGCATTTCATTTCCACACCCTGTATATCATTCCAATTACCATCAACAGATAACATAAACTCTTGTTTTATAAACTTCCACTTGCAATCAAGCTAAAAAAGAACAATCTAGACAGTTGAATGTGTCTAAAAGCATTGCTTCTTTGATATTCTTCAACACCAGTGCTTATTAAGTTTATATTTATTTCACTGCCTTTCCAATATACCCCATAAGCTCTATTCCTGCCAATCAGAAAAAAGAAGTTTGAGTGCTCCCATCTGAATAAAAGCATTTCTGATAGTCAGTTTAAAATAAGCCCAGATTTTCAAACATTTCAGTAGATATCCATATCTAGAATTAAATTAGAACAAGTTCACAATTATGTTATGTTTGTAGGACTTGATTTAATATGCATATATGTTTAATTCAATACATATTAAATGAGTAATGAATTATCATAAATTAGTAACAAAATGCTTAGTTTTAACCCAGAAAGTTTTGTTCTAATTTATAGAATACAAACTGTTTTATTTCTCAGGCTCTAGGGTTTGAGGTTTGATTCCTACAATCTCAGTATCAGGCAAAAGTTACTAACACCTGAGATAAAGAAATCTATTTTTAATAGTAAGTAACTCTGAGCTTCAGAACAGATTAGTGATCTGATAGCTACATACATGTTTTATATTTAAATAAAGCGACCTAAAGGTTGAGTGACCTTTGAAAACCATTAATTTTCATAAACACAAATCAGAGGATGAATATACATTTTATCCTTTATTGGTGTGGATATTTTGTACATTCAACATGTCTTATTTCTCAGTGTATTGGATCATGACTCCTAATTTATGTCCTCAGATGTCATCTGAAATCACTAATTCTTAAATAAATATTTCATCAATTCTTGCAAAATAAGCATGTAAGATAGACAATAACTCATATTATTGTCAACAACATTATGTGGAAAAGAAGTAGATTCCATTGCAGCATGCTTTCTCCATGTTTTTGTTTCATGACTAGTTTTTAGTCTAATAAATTCCTTCCTCATATTTTTATTCATATTTTTAAAATAATTTGAATTGCTTTCACTCTTTCTCTCTCTCCTAATTCATCCCTAGATATCTGTTCAATAATTCCCATTTTAATTATTTTCATAAGTCATCCAGAAAATTTGTGAGCATGCCTTTTTTTGGTTCTTCAATCAAATAAGAACCTGTTATGTTAAAAAGTAAACTTGTAAAATAGTATGTCAAGTACCAGCAGGGAGTAAAAGTGACTGAGATAGAGAGGGAGGGGGGGAAATCACATAATGAAGACTTCCCTCAATATTTTTATGAATATTTTTTATGTGTTGTTATTAAAACAACTTACCAATTCTGAACAATTTTGTGTTTCAGATAGGATCTTCATGAGTGCCTTATAGCACTTTCCAGCACTAAAAACTATTTTTGAAGGGAGTTATAAGGCCATCCTCGTTATTCTCACACAATGATGACTAAATGACTGTAGAATTATCTATTGTCTCTTTTCCATTTTTACCTGATGGTAAACCTCATTTTTCCTACTGTATAGTCATTAACTATTGATGAGTTGGGGAGTTCATCCCCAACTCATCAATAAACTAAGTTTAAATTTCCATAAGCTCTTGGAGAAAGAGGGGTGGAGCTAAGATGGAGGACAGGCATCAATGGCTGTAAAAAGTTCTTCCATAAGTAAATTAGGTTTTTCCTCTTTTAATACATATATAAGTATTTTTATATTTTAAACTCATTTTTAATCTATACTGGACTTTTACAAAAGCCACCATTTGTTTTAGATACATTTTAACAATACTACAAGCCAGGATTTTTAAGAATGGGGGAAAGGAGAAAGAGACAGCACTCTGCAACACAGAGTTCATCCAAGCCATTGAAGCAGCAGAAAATGGAAGATTATACTGCAAACAGACAGTCTGTTCCAGTAAGTAACTCATCTGCAGTCGCCTTCTCAGATAAATTTGATTTATTTATTTATTTATTTTATTAGATTTTTATACCACCCTTCTCCCACTGGACTCAGGGCGGTGAACAGCCAAGAATAAAAACATCACATACAAAATTTAAAATTATTTGAAAAAAGAATTAAACAAATTTTGGCCCAATAAATTTAAAACACCCCAACTAAAATCAATTAACAATTAAAAATATCTAAGGGGGGTGTTAAGTCAGCCCGGCTTGATGAAATAAAAAAGTTTTAAGGGCATGGCGAAAAGCACAGAGATCTGGGATCCTACGTATCTCCGGGGGCAGGTTGTTCCAGAGGACAGGTGCTGCCACAGAGAAGGCCCTCCCCCGGGGGTTGCCAGCTGACATTGTCTGGCCGACGGCACCCTGAGGAGTCCCTCTCTGTGGGAGCATACTGGCCAGTGGGAGGCTATCGGTGGAAGAAGGCGGTCCCGTAAGTACCCAGGCCCTAAGCCATGGAGTGCTTGGAGCACAAGCCAACACCTTGAAGCGCACCTGGAAGACCACCGGGAGCCAGTGCAGCTCATGCAGGAGGGGTGTCACATTGGAGCACCCCGTCGCTCCCATAATCCCCCTTGTGGCCACATTCTGTACCAGTTGGAGCCTCCGGGTGCTCCTCAAGGGGAGCCTCATGTAGAGAGCATTACAGTAGTCCAGTCGGGAGGTGACGAGTGCCTGAGTGACCATGCGTAAGGAGTCCTGATCCAGAAAGGGACGCAACTGGCGAATCAGGCGAACCTGATAAAAAGCCCCCCTGGCCACGGCCGTCATATGCTCTTCTAAAGACAGCCGTGCATCCAGGAGGATGCCCAGGTTGCGAGCCCTCTCCATGGGGGCCAATAACTCGCCCCCAATAGCCAGCGATGGCACCAGCTGGCTATATCGGGATGCCGGAAGCCACAGCCACTCGGTCTTGGAAGGGTTGAGTTGGAGCCTGTTTCTCCCCATCCAGACCCGCACCGCCTCTAGGCACAGGGACATCACTTCAAGGGCATCATTGGGATGGCCTGGGGTGGAGATGTACAGCTGAGTATCATCAACGTACTGATGGAACTCCACCCCAAAACCAGCGGTTTCACATAAATGTTGAACAGGAGGGGTGAGAAGACTGACCCCTGCAACACCTCACAAACAAGGCACCTCGGGATCGACTTCTGCCCCCCTGCCAACACCGACTGTGACCAGTCACAGAGATAGGAGGAGATTTATGTGACTCATTGGAATATGAATCCTCATAAAGAAAACATTCAATCAGGTAAAGGCCTAAGAGATGACCAATATAACTACAGCCAGCTGCTCTGCTGTGAATTCACTCTGATAGATCTACTACACACAAAGTGACTGCCAGCGAGAAGGTAATGTATGAGAATTCTCTTATTGTTCAGGCAGCCCACAATTCCCTCTATGCTCTTTAGAATGAAGCCCTTTCTGAGCACCTTTTCAAAATTTCCAATGCAAGTCTTTTGCTTCGATAAAGTGTGCCCGCTCCTGAAACAGCATCACCAAGAGGGAACTGTTGCTTTAAATCCAGGCTACAACAGCCCTCATGCTGTTAAGCTTGAGGCTGCTGCAGCTGAATTGATCCTGAGAAGGCAAAGGAGTGATATACAAACTGTGTTATCCACAGCTGCAGAAACTGCTGAGGATGTGCCAAAAGAAATGCTAATTGACCTATTCAGTGCATTGCCAGAACCTGAGCAAGTTAATATTCTTCAAAGATTGGATGATCTAAAAGAGGCTCTGACAACAACTCAATCTACAGCAAAGCCTCTATTTAATTTGTCTCTACTCAACCTTGTGCTCAACTTTGTGACAATACATTTAACCAACAATTTGTCTTTACTTCAATAGTTAAAAAAAAAGGTTGTATCACACAGGCTGATAGTGGGGTAACTGCACTGACTGACCCAGACTCTGAGAAACAGCTTCCATCCATATTTGACTTAGAAGTTCCCACAACATCTTCTCACAAGATGAATCCTCAGCTGAATCTTCCAAAAATGGTCATAAATCTACAGTTATAGATTTAAGCCGGAAATCTGCCCATCTGAAAAAAGTTCTTGGAGCAAGGTCATAGGCACACTGGCAATCAAGATATAGAGGAGCAACAAGAAGTTCTGCAACCCACGAGAATATTGAACCTC